TTAAGATGACGTGTCAATTTTTGCTTAGTTGTCGCTGACGTGGTTGATGATTGGCGCCTCGTCAGCCAACCGTCAAATAAGTTGACGGAGTTATTAACACCGTCATAGTTTCTAACGGAAATGGCTATATCTGGCACGCAACATCTTTCAAAAGTGGCTATTAGTGGTATTTCGGCAAATGTGGCTATAAGTGGCACAAAGGTGAAAGTTTTGGCTATGCAAGTGTATTTTGCCTACTTTTTTTAACCGATTGTGATGTTTGTGCTTTGTGACTTCAGATAGGGGCACACAATATGTGGGTAGGGTTGGTTTGGTATCAAATTGGCACACTAATTTATTAATGAGTTGGGTTTAGTGCGATCGGTTATCTACTCATATTTTTCTTCTATTTCGGTTGGGTGAATGATAGATGAATGTAATTGGGTTATGGGTAAACTCGCAAAAGCATTTCTTCAAGTAGATATTAAGAAAGTTGACTAACATTTATAATAAGTTCATTACAAATTAGTAGGAGGGTATCAATTTGAACACTTCTCACTGTCTCATGCGGATCCTTATATTTGCCTCAAAATTTCATCACTCCAACAATGTGTAAAGAAAACAAACGCATTTTATTACTTGATTAATTAGTATTTTTATAATTTGCATTCCAATATCTAATGGATATTACACAACATAGTAACCTATAATAGTAGTTGAAAATATCCTTTATTCTCCACAGAAATATGGTGAATATTTTATACTATAAATAAGAAACAACACTTTGTCATGTGAAAATGCAATCCACCCAATAAATCTAAAGGGGGGCCAAAGTTGTGGGAACCACCTACAAACAAAAAAAAGCAACCAATGATATACAAAGAGGGTCAAAGACACAAATATGCGGAGACTGCTTTTCTTTTTCATTTTTTTTTGTGTAGTTATTTAATGACTTATGTGGTATTTTTTAGTCAATGAAATCCATTTTTGTGAAAATCTCGACCATTCCTTGCTATTTGAAGATAAAAATTACATAAACAATACAATTTAAGTTCTATTGACTATAAAACAATGAAATCAAAATAACAAACTATCAATTAAATTTATTAGCAAATTATTTCAGCTATAATAATATCTCGAAAATGACTCAAATTTTATTGAAATATTGTATAGAATTCTAATGAACAAATATATAAAATTTAAATTAAAAACATCAGTTCAACTATTCATCAATTAGAATTATAGCCTCCTAAAAAAAATTATAGCCTCCAATCTGCAGCTGTTTATTTTTATTAGGAGGCTAAAAGGTCTTTTAGCCTTTTAAGTCCTAAGTTTTAGTCTTGGATTGAGGATGGCCTAAGGGTTAATGCTGACCAACAAACAAGGGCTAAAGGGGATGGGGGCTAAAATGGATTTTATGATGCTATTTTAGGTTTGACTTGCGTGAGGGCTAAAAGTAAAAGGGTGGCAAAAATGTGGAGAGCACCTAAAAAAAACATCTAATGAATTATTATCTACAAGAGGACCAAAGTTGTGGTTATTGTTTTTTCTTTGTTAAACAAGCTTTTTTAGTTATTTTCTGTAGTGCGTGCGTTTTTAGCCAATGAGGCACATTTTGATAAAAATTTCGACCATCCAACTATTCAAAAGATATTGAAAAATTGCTCAAGTTTATTAGAAAACGTATCGAATAATTATGAACAAATACATAAAATTAAATTAAAAAATATAAGTTTAACTATTCATAAGTTAGTGTTACTAAACACCAAACGTAAAATTATAATTCTCGAGTTGCAGGTATTTATGTTTCGATGAGGTTAAAAGACCATTTTTGCCTTAAAACTCATATTTCCCTGGTTGTGATGAGCAGGAAGTAAGAAAGAAACATGATGATTCACTTTTACACAGAGTGAGAGAAGTTCTGGGAGGTAAGCTACACTAAATACAACAACTAAGTGGCCAAATAAGAAGTCTGAAGAGGGAGGCAAATTTAAACCATTTTTTTTTGCCAATAGATAACTTGCATTACCAAGAAAAGATATAAAGTACAGCACCGAACTCGCCCAAATGCGAAAATCAAACCCCGAAATACTGACAGGACACAAGGAAAGGCTTTCTTAGCCACCAAATGGGCCACCCGATTGCAACACCTACCTATATACCGGATATTGAACCTCGAGAACTGTCCTTTCCAACCATTAACTTCCCGCAGAATTGCACCACCTCTAGCATCCATCATATCACCTCGATCAATCTGCTTCACCACAACCTGTGCACCCCCAAGGAACTCTATATCCTGAATATCATTTATAGCACACTAGCGAATAGCATCCCTAAACGCCAGAAGTTCCACCAAATAAGGATCAACCATGCCCTCATACTGGAACCCGAACGCAAACACAGTGGCACATGAATGATCCACTATCACCACTCAGCCGCACCATGAGAATCAGCACACACAGCCCCATCAATGAAGCACCGCAGCAGAGAGGAAGAGGGAGGCAGGATCGGCGCGCCAAGCAGCTGGCAGGAGGTGCGCGAGCAGGAGTACCATCGGCCACATTTCTCCATTCCTGGACCTGGACAGTGAACTGATGCAAAAGGGCGGGGTTGTGTATTGTATTCCATCAAAGGCCGCCCAATTGCGGGACTTCCAAACCCGCCAAAGGAGTGAAACAAAGGCCATGATAAGGTCCGGATCAGCATTCTGCTCAAACCAGCGACGCAAAAACAAAGCGATGTTAATCTCCGGAACACCAACCCTTGATGGCATTAACCCCGAGGCAACCCACAGCTCCTGAGCCACTCGACAGTGAAGGAACAAGTGCTCAATGGATTCACTTTCAATACAGCAAACTGGACATTCCGAGGGAACATCACACCCTTCTCGCGCAGCGCTTCCATCGTCGGCAACACTCGTCGCATAACTTGCCACAAGAAGACCTTGAGCTTCGGGAATATTGAGACCCCACACCCTTTCCAAAACGCCGCATCAAACCATGACACCTCTTCCTTCCAACCACGACCAGATCGACTAACCCGAACTCCCAAATGGTATCCTGACTTAACGGTGTAATCCCAGACGTAAGGAGGCAAATTTAAACCATAATAATTGGAGAGAGGGTTAAAGCCTTAATGAATACTTGATTTTTTAAATTTTTCAAATTTTACACGTAATTCACTGATATATCAAAGTCGAAAAGGCTATAATCACTCCTAATTTCTACAACGAGCTAAGTCGAGTTTTTAAATAAAAACGAAATAAAACCTTATGCACTTGGCGGGCCCGTGGCGTAGCTACCCACAATAAACTCAGCGACCCATTTATACTCTTCCAGCAAAAAACCTACAGCCAAGAATCAGCCACAATTACTTACGCTCATTAACCAGACGGCCCACCCATGAGGCCCACTATCATTATCTCTATGCCATGGGATTAAACACGTTATCCCTGAGCAAGTTAGAGATATAAGGGGAGTAAAAACCCAAAGCAATAGATTGAAATTCCTTTTGTTTCGAGCTTTAAACTGTGAACAAGGTCAAGGGCTCCAAATCAGCAAGTGGACTTTTCCGCAGATGATGGTTTGTTTAAACATTGCCTAGCAAACTATTGGAATTAGAAGTAGAAGAAAACATATTTGTCCTCGTGGTCAAAATGACTAAATCCCAAGGAAAGAAGATAGGAGGATCAGGGTATGTCATTAACATTTGCATTGGTCCTAGTATAATACCTAATCGAAACTACAACTCGTCCGTATAGCATCCCATATGATAAGCCCGGGATCTCGAAAACTTGGTCCTTGGTTGATGAAGTGGTTTCAGCTGGCGATTCTCTAACAGGGTAGAATTGTCGGAAAGAACGACGGACTGGAGGTAGATTGTCGATGTTTTTCGATCCATTGATAATAGCTTCCCACATTTACTGCATGCACCAAGTTAAGATTTCCATAATCCACATTTTTTACAAAAGCTAGTGATCATAAGAGAGGAGATACGCACCCGCAAACTTTGGAAAATAATGTCTGGTAGCTGCATATCCAGTCTTCAGAAACAAGCAGGCGGGGGAAACAAATGGCAATAGAAATTAGAACGTCGACTATGAACAAGGAAGAACCAAAGTTGAGTTCGGATATCTATGATAGTACCAGAAGAAAGTATAAAGCAGTTTCGCTCCTGACTCCAAGAAAATGCTGCAGAGCTATACCGGCATGCCTGCATAAGGCGATAACACATTTGGGGTCTCAACTTGGGAAGATAAGATACCATGTCTCAGAAAGTTGGCTTATGTAATTTCTCAAACATGTCTGAAATAGAGGCTGTTACCGTGATGTGTCTAAAGACATGATAGATGGAAGAACCTCTGGCATGCATGTAGCTGCCTCCCTGGCAAAAAGGCAAATAATCCCAACAACGTGGAGTTAGAAAAGTTCAAGTTGATAAAGAATGAAGCAAGAGCCTCAAGGAATAAAATCAGGTAGCATGATCGAAGCTTGACAATATAATTACAAAACCTATCTGGGCTTCCAAACTACTGTGTATCACCCTCACATCTCTATGCTTTTCTAGAACAAATAGTACGAGACGATGCAAGGTGCAGAATGTCTGCTAAACGGGGGCCCATAACTTAACCCGACAACTAGAACAAAACGAGTGATTCAACTGGTTAACAGGACTTACCTCATCCGGGGAAAAGAATGCAACTGCATCTGGATTAATGGAACCGGCAGGATGCAACGATACTACAGCTCTCAAGGTACAAGGAAACGATATTTCAATAACAGAAGTCCTTCCAGAGGCACCTGCACTCTGTGGTCCTGCTCGCATTTTATTTAAACTGTGAAAACTATGCTCTTTAGATGATTCAATTGACTTCTCATTTCCTGAACTCGGTAAAGAAGAAGCTCGTTTCAACCAATCGCGGCGTTCGTACATAAGAACTTTGACGTTGGGGACTTCCTTTTCCACACGAGCTAGAACATCAGCGAGAGATTTGAAGTCTCCAAGTTCGCCTAGCTGACTTGTTAACGGTGCCGGAGGCCTGCAAGGTTCTTAGAATCTGGCTCTGTACTTTGATCTTCCGATTCATCATCAAGGTGTGGAAAAAATCTCCTTTTCTGATCCGAGAATGCCTTCAGAGCTAACCTGAAAATGCACATTTACCACTTAAATTAAACCCTACACACAGACAATACTGGTGATGATGCCATGATTGATTTACCCAGTGACACCATAATTTAAGAATCATCTTTTCCACAACCCTAATCTGAGACCTTCACCATATCAAGCAGCAACATTGCTTGGAAGAGCACAAATTTGAAGCATCAGTTGCCATCACAGACAGTAAGTCCAATACAAACCTGGTTCTGTCCACAGCAGATGCACCAGCCTGCCCAGCTAGTTGACGTTTCCACGCATAAGCAACAACTGCGCCATCTGGGCACACTAATGGTATATGCAAACCCCAAGAGTTGCCCTAGATTTCATGGAATCGTTGAGAACCCCAGTTTCCTCTAGCTGCTTCCTAGCAAAATCAAGCAAGAAAAATATGAACTTTACCCTGCCTACAATTTCTGCAGGAGCGAATGGAAACGACAGACGATACACATACCAACAGTGCGCAGGTCCTGGAGGTGCTGGCGCATGCTAGCATCTTCCTTGAGCAAAAACTGCAAGGTCTTGTCGCTCTGGTGAGACTGGGCGGCGAAGAACAACGCCTCCAGGAGCCGGTCAGCGCCGATCCTCACATCAGCAATTAGTCGCGCAGCCTGGGCTAGCCTGTCTACGGCCATCGCCACCTGCTTCGGCGGCGCCTCCCCCGGCTGACCTGCGCTTGTACTTGGAGTTGCTGCGGCTTGAGGCTCCGATTGCTGTTGTAGCTGCGGAAGCTGCTGCTGGAATTGCATTGGGAAATTGGGTTTCACATCCATGGCGAAATTACCCTGGAAGGCAATGTGCACAACCACCACCAAGAAATCAAGGTCAGTTTTTAGGCCGAGGTAAGCAAGCTACGGAATCTGGTTTCCGTCACCGCTTAAACGAACCGATCGAAGCACTCGATTGAATCTCCGGACATGAATTGAAAGTGAAACCTGCTGGATTGGTTTGGGTATTAGATAATTAGAAGGACTGAGCTGTAAGTTACAAAAGTACAAGGACCTAGTCATATTTTTAAAAGATACGACGCCAGAAGAGTAGCAAACCCTACTTCGTATATCGTAAGTCACCTGAAATTCTCAAACGGGGAGCGGAAAAGAAAGGGGAACTGGGGAAGCCCGACCGCCGGCTGCAAAACACACGTCGACAGCCGACCGGGCGTTGAATTGGTTCTCTGGTCTTTCGTTTTATCTGAAGGGTGGTTCCGTCTTCTATACAAAGCTCTCGTCGACGGCGGCCGTAAAACAGGTCTTACTTCTCTCCCCGTGGAACCCTTCTCGCTTTCAGTTTCACTCGGTGAAAGAACTGAAGTTTTTTCTTTTATTGAGTCTTGTCGTCCTCCTTTAGTTGGCGTAACAAACAAAAGAGCTACTCGTTCAGCGTCTCTCACTCCTGCAGTGCTCTGTTTCTTTTTTCTTGTGAAATGGCTCTCTGGGTCTCTTTGTAGTTTGCAGTCCAGAGGCCAAAGCGTGTGTTTTAACTTTGTTTTTCCTTACAGGTACAATGCCAAAAAATAGAGCAGCTTCTACTAATAAGAAGCAGCAAAAGCGCGGTGTCGACTTCAAGGTTTGAGATTTCTGATCATCCAGACATTGATGCATTGGCATAGTGCCTAAACTGTTGAATTGGTGTGGTTTAAGCTGGGATTTCTGTTGTTTCTCCGCGCAGAAAATTAAAAGGAAGATAGGGAGGAGGTTGCCTCCACCTAAGAATACCACCAACACTGAAGTTAAATCGAAAGGTTGAATATTAGCATCATGAACTGCATTGCTGTTTATGTTGAAATGTTCCACTTTGTTATGTGCTGATACTGATTTTTTGTTGTTGTTGAATGATACTGATCATTGATGGTCACTATTAGCAATTGTTCTCCTGAGCAGAGCGTGGCATCTGATAAAGTGGGTTTGGCTGTCAGCAAGAAAGGTTTGACCTTGAAAGAGCTCCTTCAACAAACATCCCATCACAATGCCAGAGTTCGTAAAGGTTTGTATGTTATGTCTAGTGTAAAATGAAAGCTTCCATCTGAGGGTCAAAGGATTTTGGGAAATATTTAGGTTATTGCTTAATATCATATTTGTAGTCGACACTATTGTTTCTGAACAAAATATCTTCCTGGATAACTCACACACCACCAACTCTTATTCGTTAAACCCATCAGTAGCTATAAGGAAATAATAGTGAGTTCTGTCATTGGTCTTGCTTGTTATCTTACAGATTTCTTGACAAATTAGAAACCTTAATACCTTGATGGACTACTTCCTTCCTTGAAAATGCTGAAAACGTCACTGCATGTGGAATGCAAAAGCTGTGTATGTGTATGCATAGGGCGGTTTTTCTCATTCCTGTAATTATCAAAATTGCTTCACTTGCTGTCATCAGCATTGGCTAGCAAAACCTGCAAATTCCATGCTACACCTCTCCCTCATTAGACGTGCCATTCCTGAGGGTCTTGTCTTGCTTCTTTCTTGTTCTTTTTCCTATCCAGAAAATAGGTAGTTGGTATGGTGATTATGTTTAATATTTCTGTGTGGCATATTGACTTTTTCATTGCTGGCATATCGAGTTTCATGCAAAGTCAAGTATGGTGTATTGACTTTAATACTTCGTGTAGATGCATTAATGGGAATGAGAGATTTGTTCCTTAAGTACCCGGAGGAACTGAGGTCACACAGGTATGCTGTGATAGAAAAGTTGCGTGAACGCATCAGTGATGATGATAAAATGGTCCGAGAAAACCTCTATCTTCTAATCAAGTCAGTTGTATTGCCTGCTTGCAAGGAGGTAATTGGTGCTTTGCCTCATTCTTGCGTGAAATCCTTAAATTATGACAAGCAATGGAAAATATTGCATAAAGTTCAGTGTATGTGTAACTGTGTTGTTTTCTCACTGAGAGCACAGGGACAAGTAATGAGTGCGCCTTTTATTATTTAGATCATCATTAAACATAAAAAGTTCGTAGTTAGAAACGCTTGGAGTTCTCTGGTATCTTACTAGAGTATTCTGTGCAAGTATTTGTCTTGAGATGGCTGATTTGATTCTCTCTTTCCTTATCCAGGATAATCAGGGACCCATCATATCTATGATGATGGTTTACATTTTCAATGCAAGGCACATTTGGCGATTGATGTCCGACTGATGTCTTTCAAGTTCTTAGATCTCATTGTGCAGTATTATCCAGCCTCTTTTTTTATGCATGCTGAAAAGGTAAAGTATGTTGTTCTGAATTCAGCCATTTGTGGTCTCCTTTTTGGGAATATTGTTGGAGTTTGAGTTTCCTTATTTGTGGATGTCAAGCTTCCATGTGCTTGCCGAAGGCTGGTCAAGGTTTTCGATCTAGTTGGTTCAATCTCTGATTTATCGGTGTGCTAGATGACTTTCAAATAAAAAGCGATGTCAGGTTCTTAACAAATCTAACAGATGCATGGTAATGAGCTTTATATCAATAGTATGGTCAGACTTTTTTCTGTGTATCTGTTCATTTGTTACTTTTAGAACTCGTGTTGCTTCTCTTCTTAGCTTTTTCGCTTTGCAAGTTTGCTTGGTTTTCATAGATGAAACACGTAGTTCTAGGCTGTTTTACAGAAATACATGTTTTTGTTGTGAGGGTAATCAGCTAGTTATCAGTCACCATTTTTTCGTATGAATTATGTGACTGTTTCATTCTTACAGCTTCTACAAAACATTTTTGTCAGATCCTACAAAACTATGAATATATTCTGAAGAGTAACCAGTTCTATGTGCAAGACAAAAGCAAGCTCAGGAATGTTCTTGCTGGGTTAGTATGCTGCTTGTCACTGTTGCCATCTGATAAAAAAGAAGTTGATACATCTGAACAGGTGCCCCCTATGAGTCATTG